GAAGCCTGATCTTTTTACTTCGAACCTTACTTTGCTCTCTCTGGCAACCCGATTACACTGTCCACGCGCAGGAGCATCTGGTCAATATCCCGTGTAAAGCCACCCGGAGGTACAATCTGGTACGCCCAACACTTCGATTTCAATTTCTATTCGCTATATGCGACGAAAGGCCTTCTAAAACGTCGGGTACTTCGGCGGTATGAATCAACTCTGGGCAATTCGTTTCTTCTGCTGCAACGCTGACTCTTTGGCAGGACTGATCGGCACCTCAACCTTATGCTAATGAGCGCTGCTTTGTCTCGATTAGAAGACTACGTCATTCAGCATTGCTTCATTCACATTAGGCCGTCGTCGCCCAGGTCGCTCCGAGCATATGTCAACTTCACGCGGAGAAGATCTGGGAGAACCGGTGGTTCGACCCCACCCGACGGCGTTATGTGGGTCGAAGTTACTTGTCTTTTTCTGTACTCCCTCTGGCAAAGCGTCAAGACTTCCCGCGTAGATTCTCTCGTCAGGACGGAAAGCAACGGCACGCAGAATCATCACCTTGGTCCTGCGCCCTCAACAACTGTGCCCGAGTTATGATGCGGTGAGCATCCACTATGAAATTCCGTTCCTGCCATGATACTCATGCGCTATGATTCTAGTCTGCGAAACACCTACGCAAGGTATGTTGAATGCGGGGTCCACGGATGGATTTGCTTGTACGGTGTTCTTTTTAATGCCAACTTTATTTCACTCGGCCGCAATGGATTCACACTACGCCGTCGTCGACCAGTCGCCCCATAATCTGAGTGAAGAGGAACTCGCAATCACATTCGGGAGGAGCTGGTGGTTCGATTCCACCCGACGGCATAGGTTGGCTTGATGCATATTCACTTTTTGTCGAGCTCTTCGCTGTCTTTGCGATACTAATTTATTCTTCAGCGAACGAAAAACTGACCACTCGTTTATTCAGCTCGACTCATCACTTCTTCCCCTTCCCAAACAACCTATTTTCAGTAAGCAGCATGTGTTTTCCATTCATTATCTCCCTCTCACTCCATCGCGTCGACTTGATGTCGGTAGTGTTCAACGCACACATCTGAAAATGGTACGGTGATACCGTTATTTCCTCCACCATTTACATATCCCTCTGAATCCGCGGTGTCCGGAACTAAAATAATCTAGGTGCAGTGGTTCACCTTCTTGACTCGATTAATATTCCACACCGACTGGGAATCGGTGTGTCAGCCACCGAATTTCTTTTCGCCTGAAGATGGCTGGTGTTCAAGCACCCCGGGATGCACATACACATGCCCTCGTGGACCGTTGCGGTCGCCTCCCCCTGGTACGAGTCTGGACGACGCATCGTTGCAGGGAGGAAGCGGGGGGTTCGAGTCCCTCCGATGGCATGGAGGGAGTGGCCGTAATATATTTTTTCCCCTCGCGCTGCTGATCCCATCTCTGCCTTTGCAAGCAATCTGCGTACAACTACCAGGGCATGTTCTCAGACTACATCCTCATTCGTTGTTTTGGCTCAAGGCAGCCGGGAACAAATGTCCATCTGCCATCCTCCGGGTTCCCTCGGGTACGTGCTGTATCCTGCTGTCTTTTGTCTCCCCTCACCTTCTTCCCAGCAATGATCACCCACCGCGCATCTGATTCTGTAAACGCCTGAGATGCATCGGCTGTACATGTACAAATGCCATCGCGGACCACGGCGGTCACCTCACACTCATGGCGTCCGTCGTCCAGATGGAAGGAGGAGGAGGAGGTTCGATTCCTCCCCATGGCATGTATCTGGTCTATCATTTGTTTGTTTTCTGATACCAGGATTTATAGATCCGCCTCAAATATGGGTGCATGCCAAGTTGATCTGCTCCTGGCTCTATCGCGGTTCTTCGCTTGGATCTCATGGAAATGCCATGTTGAATCTGAATGTGAATCCGACCCTCGAGTCCCGTTGAACTCAGGGTGAACTTACAGCTATTTGCGGAACTTAGGGCGCGGCCAGATTTTTTTCCAAAAATGGACATTTTTGATCGTTTTCACCATTTTGCTCGCTGTGGCCTCAAATCTCAATAAAATACAATTATTATTAGCGCATCCTCTTCCCCTTGAGATTCCGCAGATGCAAGGCGCTTTAGATTTTCGATTTGAGGCACCTGGATCTGCACTGTTTGAGTTAGCGTATTTCACCGCATTTTGCCTGCCATGTTCGCATCAAGGCCCCGAATGATCCAAAAATTTGACATGGCCCACCCACATGTATTCCGCACCTGCAAGGCTGCCCAGATTTTGGCTACTCCACCCAGTACCTTTGCGGCATGGTCAGGTGAAATTGCTCAACATCTGATGGCAGGAATTAGAAGGAATCAGACATGAGATAAATATTCTAAGCTCCCTTGCATCTGTATAATCATCCCAAATGTCATATGCTGGGATATTGGAAGATTCACACCACCTTAGCTCACACAGGAAGTGTTATGCACAAAAACAGACCAACTCCCGCATATGGTCTATATTATGTAATTATCGCCGATCGTTGGGTGCATGCAGGTGCGGAATGCATGGCAGAGTGGAATGCTTCGAAACACTTAAGGGATTGCTTAAGATTTGAGCCTTATACAGCCGTTATGCCAAATCAACATTTTTGAGAAAAAATTGATCCGCGCCCTAAGTTCCGCAAACAGCTGTAAGCGCATATAACGCCATCTTTCTCTAACGCACCTCCTTGTCGCATTGTGTATCTGGCGGAAAATGGCAAGAAAAGGGATATTAGCCACACGCGTGACACGGGTGTTCGGCGCGGTCGTGACTCCATGTGGGTAGGGCGCGTGACAACTGTCCTTGTCCTCTCTCACCAACTCCCACCGATCTCCCGCCATGCTGCCTCTGCTCTCTGTGCTTCGTCGTCTACCCAAACGCGCTGAACCAATCAAGCGTTGGAAATCAAGTTCTAAGAAAGGCTCCGTGGCTCCAATCAAGCCGCGGGCACAAGACTCGCGCCAGCAGGTTGAGCCGGAATCTCCCCAGACAACACTGGATAGACTGAGAGCAACTATTAAGGAGGCGAAGTCGCAGGTGCGAAAGAATCCCTTTCCTGTGTCGGACTTCCCTTCCATCAGCTATCGCAGAATGCCGCCGTCAATTCGAGTCTTGAAAAAGGCTCCGTTGCTCGGAGTACTCCAACCGAGTCGCCGAACCATGAACTGGGCGCAGTGATGAATGAGAAGACGCCCAGGTTCCCGTTCGAGGTGCGCAAGAACAATTGTCCTTGTTCTCTCCCACCAAATCCCACTCTGTGCTTCGTCGTCTACCCAAATTCATCGAAATCAAGTGGTCGAAATCAAGCTTTGGACAAGGCGCTATTTCTCCAGGGGGCCGGGCAACGCTGAAGAAATTGAGAGCATTGCTTAGGCGGGAGGTGCGCACTGCGAAATGATCACTTTGTTGTGTCGTACTTCCCATCCATCAGCCATTGCAGGACGACGCTGTAGACTCGACTCTTGAAAAGACGCTGAACCCCGAGGTGCGAAACAACCACTCACTTGTGTCGCACTTTGTTCCTCTCAACCAATGCAGAGTGACTCTGCAACCCAAGCTCCTGCATCAGGGTCCGTTGGCCAGTACAAAAGATCTAGGTGCGTTTCTGAAGGCTGCGCACTGTGCGCTGGCGGATTTACCATGCACGACAGCAGTAAGGGCAGATGGCAGGATGTATGGAAGAACCAGAAGGCGCCAAAGAACGTTGAAGCTAATAGGTGAATTTTAGCCGTTACCTTTCAAGTGACCTGCGAACCGCCACCTACAGCTCTCCTCTCTCCGCCAAACCGGATAGCTCGACTCAAACGTCCCACGGCAGCGGGGACGGGAAAGCCGCACAATAGTCGGTTCAATCAACCGCCGAAGATCTTGCGAGATGAAGCCCAGCGTGCTGAGGTGCGCCAATTTTATTCTTTGACATCGACGGGGTTCATTCTGATTTCAGAAAAAGTTGCCATAGCAGCGTCGCGGAACGCAGTGTGCACAAAGCTGTATATTATTTTTGGGATCCAGGATGAAAACTATAGTCTGCATGTGAGTGGTGAGATGGATCATCTACCGATGCAGGTCAGCCGAGGCCAATGATTGATTGGTTTCAGTTTGCCCTTGCTCGACCCGTTGTTTGATTCAAGGTATCTGCGAGACCTTCCCGCCACCACATTCCGCCTCTGCGCCAATCCAGCTCGTCTCGCCAGTTTTTCTTTTTTGGCATTTCTGCCACCTTTCGCCCGTCTGTCCCCACACTGATGCGTGGACGCGAACGCAATGGGACCATTCTCCTTCAACTAATCTATGGCGGATGCGCGGATCGGACATTGGTGACCACAACCCCCTTTTTTATGTTGGCTTTGGATACCGAAAGGAAGTGAGATCGACTCTCACCGAGGCCTTTCTCGTACCAAATGAATTATTACCGACTCTGTGGGGTTCGTATCGGAGCAGGGGAACGTCAAGGACGATGATTGAAATTTCGATCACTACGCACTCTGCGTCCCACTGAGCAATTCGGACATGAAGCCGGCGCACATACAAAAAAGGGGCGCGGGGATTTACATTCCCTGGAATTCTGTCAGAACAGCGCTGCATACCCTGAGGATTGCGCACTCAACTTTATACCTTTCGTCGACCAACTGTAGGTCACGCCCAACTTATCACTGGCAAGCGGGATTGTTTCAGGGCGAAATGCGCGTTCGAGTCCCGCCGAAGACACGAGCAAGGATATATGAATCTTTTGGGGGAACACTCTCTGCTAATAAATACTTGTGGGAGACACACAGAAGAGGCGTGTTGACGGAAAGCCTCAATCCCGAGAGGAAGTGAGGTCAACTGCCTTGGTTCACACGATGTGATTGTCAACTTTCGGGTACCAGCGTGAAGAACGAACAGTTCAAAGGCATACGAATACATACCATTCAACCTAAGCTATGGTCGTTCAGTTTGAACAAACTCTGAGCACAACTAGAAAGTCACAAGCTTTCGTAGATCAATGCCAGATCACCTCCTTCTGATACAAGGGCCTGCTAGTATTCCGGAGGAGATGCGGGTTCAACTCCCGCCGAAGGCATGGGGTTTGAAGCCACATCGTTTCTTTTTTGGTTCAGGCTCTTATCGTGTAAGATCTTGAGCGCTGCCGCGTACGCAGCAATGCGCTGAGTGAGTCTGACACATTACCAATATGAACGCGCGTGCAATCCGCACCGCTTGGATTGAACGTGGAGAAATCCTGTCATAAAATCGATTGATCGAAGAAATGTGGGTTCGGATCCTATCGGAGCGTAGGTCTGCGAAAGCACAATACGAGCGGGCGTACACACCATGCCTAAGGCGATATTATTTTATCGAACAGCGATTACAATATTGTCCATGATGACAATCTTCACCAGCACATCCGCCCGTCGTCAGTCTGCAACATAGGTTGGCGGCAGCTCTTCCGCTCTGCCCGCCGTCAATCGTAGCCCGCTGTCCGTGTGGACGAGAGCGTCAGTTACATGGCTACCCCGCCCGTGTTGCTGTAGCGCCTGTGTCTGCTCCCTCTTCATGGTTGAAAGCGACCGACCCAGGGAGGCGGTCTCGGAACTGGTCGTACTACCTCCGTCTACTCGCTGCCTCAGCTCGCGCAGCTCGTGCTTCAGAAGGCGCACTTGCTCTGCTAGCCCGATATCGTCCGGATGCGACGCAGTCGTGGTTATGTTGGGCTCGGCCCCTGAAAGCTCGGCAGCAGCAGAAGCTACCTCGGCTTCCATTAGCTGCACTTGCTCTGCCAACCCGATATCGTCCTGCTGCGATGGAATTGTGGTCGTACTGGGCTGAGCCCACGGCTGGCCTGTCGCAGCGAAGGGTACCTCTGCTTCCATTGAGACCGCCTCTTTCGTCATGACCAATGGATCGGTAGCCGGCGGTTCCGATTGTTCCATGGCCGGGGTATTTATGCGCCTCGTTCGCCGCGCGAGGATGAACCCGACGATAGATATGCTAATCAACGCGACGGCACCCACAACCCCCCCGGCTATCGCGCCGACTGGGGGCTTCTTCTTTGAGTTTGGCGCTGTTGCTGGTGCTGTGGTTGTTTTGGCGCCCGACGAAGCTACAACTCCTGCTCCGGTGGAGGATGATACAGTTCCGCTCGATGTGAGAGTATTACTGCTAGGGTTGGTGGCACTGGAACTTGGATCCGGATCAGGCTGCCCCGTGCTATCGCTGACTCAGGACAGCGAAATACAATGAGCGAAGTCAGGACATACGTATAGATGGCATAATCGAAAATCCACTCCTGAAGTGAGTCCATCTCGAAGGTGTGCTGACCGTCTGGGATAGAGGTATTTGCGTATGCACATACATTGTATTGGGCTCCAGGGGTAGCGGAAATCTCCTGCATGCCCCCAACATAGACGTTGTCTATGAACAAGCGCTTGCCATACGCTGCCACCCCTTCTCCCGGTGACACGGCTAGGAATAGGTAGAAAGCGTTCCCTGTCAATTACATTAGGCTTCACGCTCCGACAAGGATCTGCGTAAATGACCTTGGAATGGCACGATTATGGTTGCGTATGACGAGAAAGTTCCGTTGTGGAGCTTGCTGGTGTCTAACCCGAATTCACCTGCCCTGTTTTCGCAGGCCGGGTAGGAGCAGGTCAAGTTGCTCATAACGCCTCCTGTATCGTACACCACGTGTCCGCTTGAATCGTCGATGGAGTTGTTTGTCTGCAGCGCAAACGCGAAAAGTGGCCCAAGGAACAAGGACCACGACGAGCGCATGGCAAGGCGCAGGGTGGGAGGAGGGAGCAAGTATTTAGGCTGACGAGACGCGATGCAGCTGTCGCAATGTGGGTCCGAAGTTAGTCTGAAGTTAACCGCGCCACTGATGGTTGGAGGTCGACATTGTTATGTAAACATTGTGGCGGTGCTCGCCTTTTGATTTTCCTTTCCGTTGTTCCGGCGCTCAAGGTACCAGAACACTGAATCCTAGGAGACAGAAACGGTCAAATACTCCATCTTAAGGTTTCTGTCTCTTCAGATTTTTTTTCTCGTATGCTTTTGGCCTGCGAACGAAACCGACGCTTCGGCAGCGGCCGGCCCATCAAAATCCGGCATCTGCAGTTTAATCCGATTCCCCCTGGACTTCATGAGGCAAGTGCAGCGTATTGCAATACTGAAGCCACGCCTGGTAACAATTTGGGGAAGAACGCGTCCGGCACATTCTTTCGCGACGCGACGAAAGTTTGCTTACATAACAATGCCGGCCTCCAATCAATCAGCTCGGCAAAACGACAGACTACAACAAGCGAGGTACGAGCTCATTTTTGTTGTAGCGTCTGTTTATAAGAGACTAGTCCGAAGTGCGAAAATGGTAAAGCCGTCCAGTACAGCGAGTTGATGGCCGTCGCCTTGCATCAATCCACGGTTGATCCACGGGCACCAGTGCTCCACAGGCTTGTGTGGTCCAATCAGGATGTCAGGTCAAGTGTTCGAGGGAACCGCTGTCAACAGCAGCGCACGCTGTTTGAACGAGGGAGGAGTAGGACCGCCACTGTAGTATGCTATTGCAGCTATATTAAGAGTAAAGAGCGGGGAAAATGGAATCACACGCCGAGACGCAAAGTATGGGTCGAGACTGGGCAGCGCGGAAAGACAGATCGGCAACGCGTTCAAGTCAATTCAGTGGAAGACATTTTTTTTGCGGAGATATACAACATTGTCGCGTGCGCTGAGGGTACTGATTGCAGCTTTCTTGTGATGGCAAGAGGGATGCCATACAAAAAGCAAATGATCACGGTCAACCTCATGGCCCTGGCTCGAGTCGAATGAGCAGTCCCGCGGAATCCCAGGTGATATTCCATTGGGAGCGGGTGCAGACCCTGCCTTCTTTCCATGCGCGTGAAACGAAGGTTAGTATTGCCCCAAAATTCGAGATTTCAAACATTCAAGCAATATACTTGAGTCGAGTATGAGCAAGCGTTTTAAAGAGAGGGGGATGAATAGTCCAACGAGTGAACGGCCTGCGCGTGGTCAGCGAGCCAGCGTATCCGGGGCCAGTCTGCCTATCTTTAGCAGCAGAGAGGTAGGGAGGATGTGCGGGGGTGGCTCAGCTGCGAGATTTGCGGAGTTCGCAAAGGGGACGAGGGGTATGAGACGCACGACGATACATACTTCGCCTCGAGGCTGCATGTAAGCGTACATCACAGCATTCAGCATTGCGTCAGTTTTGTAGGCGCGATATCCCATGGGAAAGCAAAAGTGCAGAGGAAAGACGCGGCGTGGTGCGCGGTGGCAGCCATCGACGGAGCTGACGGTGGCGAAACTGCCGAACTCACATTGCTTGACCATATATCGACGTAGTGCTCCCCTCCACCTTCGCCATCCACTCTTCCGCTCCTTCACCCATTCTCGCTGCGGGCCCTTGACATCAGACACTTGCATGGGATTGCATTTGCGATCCGGAGCTGATTTACCGCCAGTGGCTGAGAGTCGTAGTTGGAGTCCGATGCGGGCCGACATAGAGGCGTGGCTTTCGAGGGCTGGTGGAGAAAAGAGCGGAAGGAGACCCAGGAAAGAATGAGGAAAGATGCAAAAGCGTGCGCCGTGTTTGGCTGTGTGTACTGAATGACGAATCCCATCAAACGCGATCACATGCCGGTTTTCTGGACGCGAATTAACTCCGCGTAACATTGGGATGAATGCTACCGTGGCTCCGCCCAGAATCACCGGGATGGAATGGAGATAGAAACACACAATTGAGCGCTTTCAGGTGCATATGCGGGCGATTGAAAGCTTGGGCGTTGCTGGGAAGCGAGAAACCGTAAGTGTGCTAGTCTCATCCATGTCGGTATCCTTTTCGGTACAACACAGGTCATTGCTGAGCACTGAGACATGGCCACCGCCGATTTTCGTTCGCAGTTTTGGTAACATGTTCCCGTCCGGATTAAGTGTGCGGTATTATACTTCGACGCCTTCGTAGTAAATCCGTACCCATTGTATCGGGTGTCCGGGGGGTAACCACCGATGTCGAGAGGACACGGGATCAAATCCCAGCGAAGGCATGGAAAAGTTCGAGAGTTTTTTTGGATTAGTTCCTCCCTCAATGGATTTCGTGTCCATCTCAAGCGGAGGCGGAATATTAATCCCGGCTCCTCAGTTGTCCTCCAAAAAAATCCTAGTGTATCCTTCCATCGATTTTTTGTGAATACATCTCACGGCCACGTAGAAAGTCACCCAATAAGCCTTCGTGGATCAAAATAGATCCCTTCCGCCGCGTAAAAAGGTTCAGGACGTCTGGATCTGGAAGAGATATGGGTTCGAATCCCATCGAAGGCGTCTAGCAGATATGGCTACCTTTTTTTAAAAAAAGCTCTTCGCTCTTTTGCGTCTAGCTATCCTTTGACCTCGGTTGAGAACACGGCCCGTGTTCTTCGACCTAGGGCCTTTCTCGCATCAATGGTCAGTCACGCCCAACCGTTAGCTGCACGGTTCTCACTTCGCCGAGCTGCCCGAATTGGATTTTCTTCACGGCTCAACGCAGGAATCCGAATGGTTCCACTGGTGCACACGTCGGCGTGTCCTTGGAATGACTTAGTATATGTGCACTTACCTATACTATCTGCCACAGACTTCCCATTTCTGATGCCATGAGTTGAACCCGAAGCATTGGCCATCTCGGAAGATCGAGCCGACGGAGGCTTGAAAATCCGCTCGTCAGCGTGTTGGGGGTCTGTGGTTTCCGGGCTGCTCGTTTGACAGAGATCCTCCTTTCAATGTAGGCTCGTTACCAGCCTGCCTACGAAAAGCAACAATTGTGGCCAGCACGTTGCCGTAGACGAGCCTACTTTCAATGCGGCTTTCAACCACGGGCACGCTGCATGCTTACCTCGTCTTAAATACGTCGCCCGACATGTTTGCTCTCTGCACACCTTTTACGGCCAGCTGTTTTACGTCTCAGGATGTTTGCTTGTATTCCGACACGGTAAACAGTTGTCAAACAATTGAAGGGAAGAATTGTATCTTGACGTGCGCACCATGCTTGCCTGTTGCCTTCAAATCAAACCGTTTAACAATCCTACAAAGTTTGGT